GTGGGCGCTGTGCGGGAGACACAGAGAGAGAGGTGGGCGTTGTGCGGGAGACACAGAGAGAGAGGTGGGCGCTGTGCGGGAGAGAGAGAGAGGTGGGTGCTGTGCAGAGAGAGAGAGACGTGGACGCTGTGCGGGAGAGAGAGAGAGGTGGGCGCTGTGTGGGGAGAGAGAGAGAGAGGTGGGCGCTGTGCAGGAGAGAGAGAGAGAGGTGGGCGCTGTGCCGGGATAGAGAGAGAGAGAGAGAGGTGGGCGCTGTGCGGGGAGAGAGAAAGAGAGGTGGGCGCTGTGCGGGAGAGAGAGAGGTGGGCGCTGTGCCGGGATAGAGAGAGAGAGAGAGGGGTGGGCGCTGTGCGGGCGAGAGAGAGAGAAGTGGGCGCTGTGTGGGGAGAGAGAGAGAGAGAGGTGGGCGCTGTGCCGGGATAGAGAGAGAGGTGGGCGCTATGCGGGAGAGAGAGAAGTGGGCGCTGTGTGGGAGAGAGAGAGAGGTGGGCGCTGTGCAGGGAGAGAGAGAGAGGTGGGCGCTGTGCACGAGAGAGAGAGAGGTGGGCGCTGTGCACGAGAGAGAGAGAGAGGTGGGCGCTGTGCGGGAGAGAGAGAGGTGGGCACTGTGCACGAGAGAGAGAGAGAGAGAGAGGTGGGCGCTGTGCGGGAGAGAGAGAGGTGGGCACTGTGCAGGGAGAGAGAGAGGTGGGTGCTGTGCGGGGAGAGAGAAAGAGAGGTGGGCGCTATGCGGGAGAGAGAGAGAGAGAGGTGGGCGCTATGCGGGAGAGAGAGAGAGAAGTGGGCGCTGTGTGGGAGAGAGAGAGGTGGGCGCTGTGCGAGGAGAGAGAGAGAGAGGTGGGCGCTGTGCGGGGAGAGAGAGAGAGGTGGGCGCTATGCGGGAGAGAGAGAATTGGGCGCTGTGCGGGAGAGAGAGAGGTGGGCGCTGTGCGGGGAGAGAGAGAGGTGGGCGCTGTGCGAGAGAGAGAGAGATGGGCACTGTGCGGGGAGAGAGAGAGAGATGGGCACTGTGCGGGAGAGAGAGAGAGAGGTGGGCGCTGTGCGGGAGAGAGAGAGAGAGGTGGGCGCTGTGCGGGAGAGAGAGAGATGGGCACTGTGCGGGAGAGAGAGAGAGGTGGGCGCTGTGCAGGGAGAGAGAGAGAGGTGGGCACTGTGCGGGAGAGAGAGAGAGGTGGGCGCTGTGCGGGAGAGAGAGAGAGGTGGGCGCTGTGCGGGGAGAGAGAGAGAGGTGGGCGCTGTGCACGAGAGAGAGAGAGAGGTGGGCGCTGTG